TTATAATGTATTACTATTTTTATTTATTTTGCTCAAATTGTCCCATATTTGGTCTGTGAGAGCCAGCTTAACTTTTTTTGATGAGTGGGAGCTGCTGTTAGGAGCCTGGTTTATTCATCCATTCTAGGATGCGAGGAACTTCAGGTTGTGGATGCATAAATGAGAGTCTCCCTTACACTCAGTTGGGTTAGCTACCTTCGCTCTATGTTATTGTTTGGTTTCTCTTTCTTTGTAGTTAAATGCTACTTTGTTTCTCTATGAAATCTTTTACACATGGGATAAAATAGAGGTAGCCCCAAGACAAAGTATGTTTTGTTTCTCTGGGAACTATTTACTTGTGGTAGTATCTTAATCACTTTTCTTACTATAAGATTATGCTTATGTGTTACTGTATCTGAACACACTAGAATGGCTAAAATGGTATAATTATCTCAATTATCCTTAAAATTACATTGAAAACATTTTTTCTTTGGTATTTTATTCTACTGCATATTTTTAAGTATTCCAAACTGAATAAACATTTGGTACTATTTAGATATTCAGTTTTATTTATCTTCTAGGGTAAGAAGTATGGAAATAAATTATAACACAGAATTTTACCTTGGGTAGGTCCTGTCTGAAAAACATGAACTTAGTGTTGATGAAGACTTTTGTGGCCATTATTTCAAGAACACTGACTGTTGGAAAACAAAAACTGAAAACTTAGATTGCAACAATGATTTACAGGTGTTTCCCTCACTGAATGTGAGTACCCGTCTTGTCCCGTTAAGATACTTTAGTTTATTCCCAGTGAACACAGTATCAATGGAAATAATGTTTTATCAATATTTTGATAAAGAAAGGTGCTTAATTTGTTTAGGTTTAGTGCTGTACGTATGTGTAGTAGTGTATAATAATTAACATTTTGACATCATTGTTCCATTTCTTTGTACCCCATTGTAGCAACGTCCTTGCAAGACTCTTTTATGATCCACTGTCTCCAGTTCATCTTTCCTTGTCTCTTCTTTCTACTGCAGTCACACCTTCACCTCCATCTTCCCATGAAAACGGCTCTAGTCAGAGTCACCAGTGACCTCCATGTCGTTAAACCCAATGATCTGTTACTCTTACCAAAGGTCCTTACTTATCAGCATTTAATACACGTGACACTCCCTCCTCCTTTATCCCCTTTCTCCCTTCCAATGTGAGAGATTAAGTTCTAAATGGTAACAGCAGTCATCCCTAGGTAGTGAGGTTATGGGCATTTTGACTTATTTTTTGTTCTTCTGTAAATTCTGAAATGAAAAATATGTCTTTAGTAAAAATTTTAAAGGAGCTCTTTTTAAGATATATTTAAAGTGTAATAAACTTAATGAAAAGTAAACATAAGTGTACACCTCAATGAATTTTTAAAAACTGAGCACAATTGTGTAGACCCAGATCAATTATAGAACATTTTAGCACCTAGGGCCCCCTTTCGGTTCCTGACACTTTCCCCACCAA